TTCGCAATACTACTCTGAAAGAAAACGCGAAAAATTCTAATCAATCAAAACAACCCTAAATACGAACGCGTTTCATATTTCCATTTCGCAACACTAATGAAAATCGCGATTGCCCAATTGACACTGGATGCTGAGCTTCCACGTTGGGGTATATGACCCGTCTAAACAAACTACAACTACTACAACTACAGGCGAGTACAGTGACAAAATAGTAATAGTAATGACTCCCCATCTTCGAATTCGAAAATGGAGAGCCATTCGTTGCAGCCCACTCTTGCGACAATTTGTCAGGGCCTCTTCGGCATACAGCCTCTTCTTTCTTCGGACGCATTGTCCCATCTGAAACTTATAGCTAGGGTCGAGGTTCAGTGCAATACGTGGACGTTCAACTCGGTGAACCACACGTCTAGAACCTCGAGGGAACGAGCGTTTCGAGGGACCTATGACACGATCGCGACCGCGAAAGAACGACTCTAAGAGTCGAGACCCGAAAAATCGAAAACAAATACAGAAACAAACGGACAGAAGCTCCGTTTGCATCGTCATTGCAACGATTCCTCGAATCCACCTACAGTAACAGATCCGTCAACCGTTGCGCGACCTACTCAAACTAAAGTGACGAGATCTGCCCTGGACCCTACCTACCGGGATTTAACATACACACCACAAGTTAAGTTACCTACCTGCCTAACCCTATATTTAAAAATGCCAAAACAATCACACCAACACACGCGCTCAACGATCCTCAATCAAGGCTCTCGGGCGCGACCTAAACTAGAGAGATGTCCCGGGACACCTCCGACACCCGAGGATACCATACACAACATTCACACTCTAAAGGTACGTACCAGTTCCTGAAATCGTCTGACAAAAGCTAACGACCATTGCGCGTTTAGATATCGTGTGAACATTACATTCGTAATTAAATTATTTTTAATCTGTGAAAATTTATAAAAATGAAAAGCTACTACTCTATATATTGCAAATGATTGTCAAGCAATTTAGTGCTTCATCAATTTTCTATTATGATTGATTTTAAGAGAAATTAATAGAATTATCAATACCAAGTGATCGATATTTCATTGTAAAGAATAATAATAGAAATCTAAAGCTATGAATGTACCATTTGTATGTTGTAAGAAATTATTGAATCGACGCAATTCCACATCCTAACCACACACACACACACACATGTGGAAAATACGTCGTGCACGATACGTTAGCAGTGTCAAACGCCCACATTGATCATTATTATAAATATTATAAACTAAGTCATCGTGCCCATTGCCTTCGCTCACCCAAGTAGCACCTGAGCACGTGAGTGAGTTTGGGCAACGAACACGGAAGGATTAAACCTGAAAATCCTGATCTAGAAAGAGTAATTACAATTGGTAATCTAAGCGGCCTAACGTTCTTTAATTTGTCGTTTGTAGACTGTGGATGTTTATGCAAATTCATATTTTTACAGATACGAAAAAGGAATTGAAATTTAAATGAAAGTATGTTTTTGTAAGTTTTCAAAGTATGTCTTATAAACGGTACAACATGAATATTTAAAATATTGTTACTAAAGAATTAAGAATATATATATATATATATATATATATAGATTTCTCTATTTTTCTATTTGCTATAAATCATAAACATCCGCAATCTAGTAACCTAATTTTCAATAAAAGTGACTCGACTTTGTATTTGTAAAAATTCAAAAGTGAAACTCAACTATGTATTAATATTGAGAAATGAAATTATCAAGAGAAATAACTCATTGAATTTAATTTACTTATCAAGAAAAATGACTCTAAACGAAATTGATTTATTCATTTGATTTACTTTGAAAATTTAAAATAAATATTAAATATTGCACTACTTTCAAGTGATTTCGTTGTCAAAGTGTATATTTTACGTTCTTCAAATCATGGTAATATACTTTGACTCAGAAATCTACCTATCGCGAAGCGTCCTTCTTGTACATGTATAGAAAACTTTAATGCAACGAATGTATATTTAAAATATTGTCTATGGACAATTGATAATAAAAGTATATACAAAAATTTGTATATACAATACTTTTCAACTTCATGAAGTATTAATCAAATAAAACACATTCAATACTGAATTTATATAATAGATATTATATCTTGTCAATGAATTATGAAATGCATAGATGTTGCATAGAATTATTAATAATATTCTTAACAAAAAAAATGTGACGTACAAGAAGACCCTATCCTGAACTAAGAAATGAAACAGGAAATGTTTCACGAGTATGCTATGCAATGCATACCCGCGGTCACTATACTCGCCAAAGACCACGTATACAACTAGTCACCCGTGTCGATTCGGACCTTTCATCCTACGACACGATTGGGGACCAGAGGAACAAAATAGCATACGACTCACCCCGATCACTAGCTTGAAATCTGCATGTACCTCGTTAACAGACATCGTAGTAGCTCTGCTAGGCTCTGCTAGGCTCTGTTAGACTCTGCTTGGCTCTGGGATGAAGTATGAAGAATCTGTAAAATACCACAAAACATAATGATCAATTTCTGCAATTATTTCGAAAATATCAATTCATATTGTGTAATAAAGAATTCCTAGACACTTACATTTTCCATTCGTTGGACATCGCCCAATACTCCTCTTCAGTGATGCACTGACTCTAATACCGATATCGAGCAAGTTTTATTGAATTTAAACAAAAAAAAAAAAAAAAATTACCGTGAGTTTACATCGCGATTGAGAATCTAAAAGAGCCGCGATGCTCAGGAAAGAATTTACAACGCGCAATAAACACTGACTCTATTTCATGTATACCTAAAATCCAAACGAAAATCTACTCGATACCAATGCGTATCGAATCAAATAAGAATACTTCTACGTGGTAAACACTGACTCGACCGACCGCATTGCGCGCGGTCAACAAATCTCTGAAAGACAGAGGGATAGGAAATAAACAAACACGAGCGAACACAACTGGTGCTCTCCTAGATTCTGTTTTCTTTTTTTTTTTGTGTTCGAGTTCTGGCCATGGAAATACCGTTGGAAATTTTCCTAGAATAACGATTATCAGTTACCCTTGTTATTGAAGGGCAAGGTTTGATACCTCTTGAAAAGACAAACACTCTCATTGAATGCGAACATCTGTCAGTTTCAGTGACGAAATATTACAGACAAATACAATGAGAAATTTTATATCAAGAATTTCCATTACTGGACTTGTAATAATGTTCATGATTTCATCGTATTCTAAGATATACCGCGATTTTCGTAAATATTACAAGACTCCTTGCAAGATCAAAATTCATTAGTTACTAGACTTTCATGTTAATATACAATCGCGTAGCTTCTACGTTCATTTAAACTTGCTATAGAAAATTGAACGCGAACGCAATTGCGTCAACTTCATAAAGATAGATTAGTCGAAAAATCAATTGTATCGTATAAAATGATACCAGAAAATATGAAACCGCGATCAAATTACAGTAGCATGAGGACATTTTAAATTTTCACGAAATTTAAAGATGAGAAAAAGTTTGTATTAATTTTGTTCAATTTCGACTAAGCATTGATCCGTTATGAAATCATGTAACACGCTTACGATCGATAACAATTCATACAAAAGACGGAAAAAATATGAATAAATATGTTACCATCTTACTTGAATAAGTTTCAAACTTTACCGCTTTCGATGAGATTTCGATTGAATTGGCAACAAGCATCATGGCGTCGGCGTCACGGAGTTGGAGCTCAAGTTTCATCAATGTTCTGTAACAGAATAAAATATCTAATTTAAGTCATTTGTTCATTTAGACACAGTTATATTATAACAAAACAATAATCGAGCTCGAAATAACCCGCAAAAGAATGCAATTTAATTAAGAGTATCGTAATATGAAGTTAGAAACTTTACCATTCTCGATGAGATCTCGTTTGAATTTAAGACAAGCATCATGGCGTCGATAGCAGAAAATTGCCGCTCAAATTTCATCAGTGTTCTGAAACAGGATAAAATAACTGATTTAAGGCACGGATGTTCATTTAAATACAGCTGTATTGTAATAAAATAACAATCGAGCTCGAAATAACCCGCAAAAGAATTCAATTAAACGTAAAGAATCGTAATATCAATTGGTACCGAATGGAAAAGAAGAAAGTCCCCGAAACCGATTGAACTTCTTTGAATATGCTAATTGAATTTAATATAAAAGTTTATCGATAATATATTGCGGTACCAATAGACAAACGAGAATAGTATTAATAATTAGTAGCGATTCAATAGCAACAGGTAGAAGATAGATACCTATTTAGTCGCGCGGTACCAAACAAATCTTATCACGCCAGCGCACAAGACACGAATGAAGACCCCTCTCCTGCGCTGAGAAGCTGCGCGGTTCGCACCCCCCACCGCGGGGTCATGACGTCACTAGGCAGAAGGTGGGGGCAACCCCACTAGAGCCAGCGACTCTACCCCCACTCCTCACTAAGGTTTAAATTTCAAATAAAGCTACGAAACAAACGAACAAATGTACCGAATCGATGTTTAGTTTCTCAAATTATAGTATTCATATATGAACTATAAATAATATTTATATGTTTCAGACTCTACCCCCATTCCTCACTAAGGTTTAAATTTCAAATAAAGCTACGAAACAAACGAATAAATGTACCGAATCGATGTTTAGTTTCTCAAATTATATTCATATATGAACTATAAATAATATTTATATTTTTCAGATTCTATTGATGTCAACTATTTGGCCAAGTATTATAAAATCGTGGTAAAATTACTTAAAGTGTATACTTATATCATGTATTACAATTATTATGTTGTTACAAATTGTTATTTTATTATTATATTATTACAATTGTTATAAATGTAACCTGGATCTTGTACGTTCTTATTCTAAATCATATTTTTTGAAACGACGAAAATCTTTTAAATCACGTCTGTACTTTTCTTGGCTTACCTTTTTTACCAAATACCTTTCAGATACATTGTGTTTTGTACATATTTAATAGGAGACGCTCCAAACGTGTCTTCGACTTATAGTATATGAGATTGACCACTCGATAATAGAGAGCATTTTCTTATGGCGTATATGCATTTATACTGCAACGCTTCGAGCGCCAATAGGGCGATAATACACAATAATAATGACGTCTCTTTTTTAAAGTATAATAACTCACTCTCACTCATAAATTCCTACTAGATCAAAGGAAAGCACGTGACAAAAATATCGTAAATTTTGATATCGTGATATTTAATATTACAATATCTGTCATCATGAAAGCTTAAATGTTTCGTAGTCGTGGCATTCTACTCACAGATGTCGCGCTGTTAGAACAATTTTTTTTGCCAATCTCTACTACAAAATAAATCGTTTCAAAACGCTAAGAACCGCCAAAATCACATCAGTGTGACGCCATATTGTTTAGTGACAAATATCATGACGAAATTGTTTATTTATCAAGTGTATCGTCCTCGTGAAGTCGTGGCTTACGTCACGGTATTAAAAATTGTGACATCATGTTACGTGAAAATAGACTTGTAGGGCAGGAAAAGCGTGATCATTCACAAACCGCGTATTTCGAATCGCGACTGTGCTACGAGTTTTTTACGAAAATTTGAAGCGATACAAATTATACAAATTCCGTATATTTTCATTGCAAGTGTAACTTCCTTCGTTGTCAAACAATTCTGTAAAATCGTATATTGGAGAAAATTGAATTTGTGTTATTTATTTCCTTTTTCTTGACGCGCTATCTACAACTACTTACAGATTCAAAACAATTGACATTCGTGAGCAAACGTAAGCCTCTCGGAAGCTAAAACGAACGATTTTGAATTACGCTTGTTAGTGTAAACTAGTGTAAACGTTCAGTTCAAAGTGATACAAAGCGAACGCACCTCTCTAGGCCAAGTGCGTTCTACCAAACAGGTGCTTTGACGTCACGTCGTCGCGTTCACACTCATTCTATCAAAATGTGGCTACAGTCAGGGCCGAATTAAAGTATGGACTTCAGGGGCTACAGCCCAGGACCTTTGTCAGTCGAGAAACTTACGATTTATTAATGTTTTCGAGTGATTTATTTTAGAGAAATTTCAGTCAAAGGAAATATTTTAAATTTCGATTGTTTCCTAGCTTTGCAAAAATCTGTTTGACTTTTCGTTAACTTTTTTTCCTTTTAAAAATATTACCGTGGGCCTTACAGTATCAATAGCTCAGGGGTCTACAAAATCTTAATCGGCGCTGGCTACAGTAGACCATATCAACTTGGTGATTAAACTTCGGCTATTTGATAATAATTCGAAAGCCAACGTCGAATCGTCGATTCGAATCGCGAATTTATTGCTAGAAGCGTGTGGTTTGTTTGAAATTAAAAATCATGTCTAAGAGCAAACTTCACCATCAAATTGACAGCAGTATTGTCGCGGTGAAAAGCAAAGTAAGCTACTTTCTAATCGCTTTAATGTTTCTGCTTTGCTTTTACATTGTCAAATAAAGGGAAACTACGCTTTCCTTGATACAATATTCTCGAATAATTCTATTCTTATTCCTTCGTTTTATTCAGTGCTTGTATATGCAAACGACTTCAATTATTTATTTTTGTTCATTAGTTTGATGCTGACATTATAAGATTTTCAATCAACCGTAATGAAGCCATTAGCTATGAGGATTTTAGAAAATTATTGGCCGAACGACATGATATAGGTCCAGATTTGAGCTTTCTTATTTGCTATACAGATCCAACTGATGGTGATTTATTACCCATTAATAATGACAACAATTTAGCAAGAGCACTACTTGCAGCGAAGCCACTTCTTAGAATTTTTTTACAAAGGAAGGGTAAGATAATTCTGCAATAAATAATTATGACATACAAATACAAATGACTCAAGCATATACGATATAAGTAGCTTCTAAACTCTTTTCTTCAATACTTTTCTTATTGTATAATAATGATCTCATTTTTGATCCACATCTATATGTTACAAGAACCTATGCAACTGCTTACACTGTGCCTATGTTTAAATAATCAGTGATATATTAACAGATTGTTTAGATTACTTTTTTGAAAATATACCCATATATAATTTATTCCATGTAATATATTATTACCTGCACACAAATTTCCATTTCACGGCTTCAATTATTAAGTTATGAATCATATACAATTATAATTTTTATGTTTGTTTGTAAACTTTAATTTTTTTATATGATAGGAGATGGTTTAGAAGACATAAATGGATATAGGACAATGAAACCAAAAAATCTAATATCGAGTATTCTTGGTGGCACACCTGGAAAACCAAAACCACTGGCTATATCTAATCCACACGATTTTAGGCAGGTAGGTCTAATCTATGTAATTCAGAGTTCTACCAATTTCAAATATAAAATTGATTTACTATCTAATCATTATTTGGGAATAACATAGGTATCAGCAATAATTGATGTGGACATATTACCAGAAACTTGTCGCCGTGTACGTTTGTTAAAACATGGTTCTGACAAACCATTAGGATTTTACATTAAAGATGGAGAGAGTTTTCGAATATTGCCACCCTCTGCAGGAGGTGGTATTGAAAAAGTTCCAGGTGTATTTATCAGTAGATTAGTACCAGGTGGCTTAGCTGAAAGTACAGGTCTTCTAGCAGTAAACGATGAAGTTCTTGAAGTAAATGGTATAGAAGTTGCTGGAAAGACTCTCGATCAGGTAATTGTGATCAATAATTTTATTATTTTTTAACCAAGTTTAAACCAGAATATGTAATTTTGTATAATCTTACTTTATGTTTTTAAATCAATAGGTGACAGATATGATGATTGCGAATTCTTCGAATCTTATAATCACAGTAAAACCTGCAAATCAACGAGCAGCATTAACTGCTCCAAGACGTGGGTCATTTTCACGTAATAGTCAATTGTCTTCTGGAAGTCATCAGTCTACACAGAGTGCTGCAACTGGTAGTGATGAGGATGCAGATGAAATTGTAGATTTAACTGGTGTAACACTTCAAGATGATGCAGCAACTTCTACTTCTCAACATCATCACTACCACCACCATCACCATCATCAAAATCATTTTAGTCACGACCAAGGTGTTCTACACTTATAGATGGTATATATCACAAATTTCATTTTGTACAATGCCATGCTCAAGTGAATACAATTGGATATTCATCTATAAAAAGAAGATATTTAAGAATAAGTATAAAAATATAGCATGACAATAAGAAGCTGAAACAGTAGAAGAGATGAAGCATTACAAAGTCATGTGGTTATCATTTTATTAACCTAATAATAATTTAGTTTATTATAACACAGAGCAAAACAAATATGCGATTTTTATTGAGGTTATATTTTTACAAAACATTTACACTAGTGCCTTTTTACATTGAAATCACTATTTATTACCATGAATTAAATTGCTATTCTCTTCAAATCAATCATTTAAAATTGAAAACAGTTTCCAAAGTTGGTACATATCGAGAAATATACTGAAAGTGCTTCATATATTAAATAAGTATGTGAAAAAGTGACCAGCTTTTGAAGTCTGTACTTGTTCAGTGATATGTATTCTAAAACTGCAAAACGAAACGAATACAATTAAGAGAAAATGATAAAATTAGGCGCATTAATACTTTGTTTTATATTGTTCATGTAATATTTTCTTTTAATTTGAAAGAAAAGGATTTCAAACGGAAATTCCTCTTTAATCGTTTTATATGAACTAGGTGAACAAAGTATAGATATATATTCAATTAAAAGACAGTGATATGAATATTGACTGTGCATAAAAGTATTATTGGAAGGCAGCAATGTTTTTGAAGTATTAAAATAATATTTCTTAGTACTTAATGTTCAAAACCTAAAGTGTACTTAAATAAGAATGGAATGAGCTGTGGAAGAAGATAAGATTTCAAGTGTAAGAACTACTTATTTTCATCATGATCATGTTTTACTATTTTACATATTAATACATAAATTGAAACATGATTTCTAATTCCATTTATTAGGATTTTATTCATCACTTCATAACGTATTCATTTTATTTTAATGAATTTTGATGAATTTTGTGTGTATATACAGCAGATAATGAAATTCAGTAACTTAATTTATCGTTACAAATAGAGGCCTTTATTCAATAATGGAAGTGTATATAATAAGAATGTAAGATGGTGAAATGCTAATATAAATGTTTCATTTTTAATCAGACACAAGTAAACAAAAATTGAGAGTGGCCTTATGTGTAGATCATTCCAAATATTTCTTTGCAAATATGCAAAATAGGGATTATTCTATTATAATCCATTCTGACACGTCTATTCGTGTATGTATTCTGTTTATTCCACTGCATGTTTAGAGTGTTAAAGTTTTTGAATTTTAATTCCATTTTTATAAATGTTATTTGTTGTCTAATTGAGCACTAGATATTGAAGTATAATGTACTTTATAAATATTAG